GAAGCTACTAGGAACAAGTGCATCGCTTCTAGTAACAAGTGCCTTACGAGTAGTAACAAGAAGCTAGTAGTAACGATTCTTCACTCCAACTGCCAGGCCCACCGAAGAGCCGGGGCTCGAACAGCTTTTGGAGGGCGCGGTGGATCGACCACCCGAGCCGCCACCTTGGGGGCTCATAGGCACGTGCAAGCAGTGCAAGCAGTGCAAGCAGCGCAAGCAGCACAAGCTAGTGGGGTGGGTTGGGGTATGGACTAGATCATAGGACCATCATGAGACACTACTGTGTGTTTGTGATGTTTGGCGTTTTCTTGTTTCCTTTAGTTGGCTGGTGGGTTCAGGGGGTCTTCTCAATGACGGGCTGATGCTGGTGGTCTTTGCACATGCAGGTGGACTGCTTAGTGTGCCTCTCGGCATCATTTGCATCGCAATGCTGCTGAACAAGCGGCTCGGCCTGAGGAGAGTGGCACCTGAGACCATCGGATCAGTTGACCTCACTCGAAAAAACCAGGCAAATGCCAGGCAGGCTAAGGCGGTCCAGACCTTTCACAAGTTTTCTGCTGGTTTTGCACGACCAAGCGTTTTGACCCACCTCGTTGCTGGTACTGTAGATATTATGTTGGATTTTAGCGTGTGTTTCTTGCTGTGGATGTTTTATTTGATGTTGGTTTTGGGCCAGGTTGTTTTGGTTTCAGCCTTCTAGCTGTAACTGGTTGTTGGATGAGGTGGATGACTGTTTTATAAGGCTTTGTTGTGCTTTTTGGTTCGATTTTGAGTTTTGCTAGTTCCAAGACGTCTTTTGCTAAGGGTCCAAAGATCTTCAAAACAATTGTTTGGATTGCATCGTTCACACCATGCAAACAGAAAAACTAACATAACACAAAAACACAGTAAACCAACAGAGTGTCCGGACAGAAGCCCTTAGGGCCTAGCCAAGGGCCTCACCGGGGCCCACCGAGTGAACTCAACTGCTCCAGGCTGGGCGTCTTCCGCGAAGCGATTGAGCCACTCTTCCACAGCTCCAAGGCTCGGGGCGTGGCGCCTCCAACCTCGTAGCGATGGCCTCTTCAGAGAAGTAGGAACAAGGGCATCGCTGCTAGGGGCTCCTGGCATCGCTACGAACAAGGACGCTACTTTATTTTTTCGGCACAACTGAAGGAGGTGGAGTTCCATTCGACGTCCCCGAATAGGTCGATTCTTTGCAATGTTTGCTTCGTTGCCAACCGAGCCCACCGAGCATTGTTCAACGGATCTCGTGCCAGGCGACCGTGGTGGCCCATGACACCTTTATTGCTCCTAAGCAGATATCGGGGCATGGAGAGCGGGGAGAGCGGGGAGACGAGTTTGTTTTTTTGGTCTAGTTTTCTGAAGCATACTTGAAACCTTCCCACACCCTGCGCCTCGGGGGTGGGAACGGCCCGAATCAGACCCCCTGAACAGCTTCTGTGTTTACAAGAATTTGGTTGTTGCCAAATGGTTTGGAATAATTTCCTACAAGCCTTTTGGATGGGTTGGATGGGGGTTTCTAGGGTTGAGCAACGCAACTTTCACCGGTTGCTGCGACACGGGTGACTGGAACAGAACTCATGTGCGTCAACGATCTGGTACCCCTCATGGGACCGATGTGATGTGATCCAATCAGACTGGGCATCGGCGACGAGCGAGGAACCCGACAGGTGGACGCGAAAAAACGCGTGCGACGAACCCGTCAGGAGCCTCAGAAGGATCTGATGGTGAACGGTTTGGGTATCGAATCCAAGACCTATGGCCGTGTGGAGCCTAGCACCTTGGAAGCAGGGTTTGGGTCGGGCGTGTGTGGCATGGGCAGTTGGATGACAGGATGGCAGGAATAGAGGAAGTTGGGAGAAAAGCAGGGAAGATCCTTCCAAACTATAGACTTGGTGGATAGATTCTTCCATATTCATCTCTTTATCCTCTACTTCAGGGTGGTCGTAGATGTGCGAGGTTGAGATGTAGGCCCATCACCTCCACCTCGAAGGTGACCTCCAAACAAGGGACTTGCTGAGATTTTCATATTACTTTGCATGGCCTGGTGAGGATATTCCGTCAGCTCAGGAGCTTTGGGGCTTCGGAAGCTGCATGAGGAGGACCAGGCTGTGTGATGTGGGGACTGACGCTTTTGGACCTGAGTGATCCTGATTTTGGAGTACTGACCACCCTGATTTTTGGTCTCTTCAGGTTAGACCAAGTCCTAGTCTGAGCGCAATGCTTCCGGTTTTTCTTTTGGTGCACAGTCATGATTCAGCTTTGGCCTACATATGTTGGTTTTGTTTCTACAGGCGTCGATTTCCTTCGTAAGTTCCCACACGCAGCATCTCTTGACCATCTCCACCCTCAGCTTCTCAGCTTCTTTGAGCACCCTCTGGGCTTCCCTTGCCCCTTGCGTTGCAGGTGTTGCCCTTGGCCCTGCGACAGAAGGCGGAGAACGCGGTGCCCGAAGCAGCGAACGCCGCCTGGGTGGACGAGGTCGTCAAGGAGGCGAGCTCTTCAAACAGCGCGAGGTGCTGGTCCTGGTGCTAGTCGGTGCTGGTGAACGGTTCAGTTGCATCAGCAGGTTGGAATGCTTGACCTGTGCACTGGTGACTGATGCATCTCTGCATCTCTCATGCCCAGGCAGAGATCCAGCGGGAGCGGCCACAGCTGAAGGACACGGTGGTGTTGCCTGGCACGACGTACACAGGCGAAGGCATCCCCTGCTATCCTGAGGCACGGGCCAGTGGCAGCGCGATGCGAGCGCGCCCGTCCAACAAAAGAGCGTGAGCAGTTTTGCGGTATTGGTGTCTTCTTCAGGCGCTCTCCCTAGGAACATGTAGACCACAAACAAATCAACAGCAACCTCCTTCGCAAGTGTTGGAGAACGTTATCTACTCCAAGACCCGAGTGCAGGTTATCGCACGTTTGCTTGTCCGGTCCACCGACGAACGCGCTGACCAAGAGGAGTTGGATATGCCGTACATGGAGAGCCACGCCTTAGCGGTCCAGGAGCCCAACTTGCCGCGCTCCCGGTCCTCAGGCGGTTGGAAGAAGGGCCAAGAAAAGGAAGGGGTTGATGCGGGGGTTGGGAGGGTTAGGATGGGAGGATGGGGTCATATGGCAGTCTTCCTTTTTTGAGAAGAGCTGTAGTTCAGAAGTTGGATGAAAGGGAAAGTTGTTTGAAGACAGCCAAACTGATTCTGTTTGAATTGAAAGATGTTCACTGTTCACATTTGATTTCTCTGTGTCCACCTACCAGGTATGCCAAGCCCTCTGAGCAGTGAGCATCACTGGATCAAAAAGAAGGTAACACGCAAACCAAGTGATACAAGGAAGAATGATCACAGTTTGTTGTCCATTCTAGTTTCACTCTTGAGCCACACCCAGATTCTTTCTCCACCGTTCTCGTGCTTCTTTAAGCTACCAAGCTGAACTTCTTGCTTCCTTTCTCAGCACGACGGACATACGCGTGTGCGTGCGCCAGATCGGAGCAAGAGTGTGGATGACTTCAGCTCCTCCCATCACCAGGCGGCTGGACGTCGATGATGCAACATTTAGGGTGTGAACTCTTGCAGACAGAGGGTTGCTGAAAGGCCCAACCTTTTTAGTTTTCTTTGATTGCGAATGTTCAGTCTCACCCTTCGGGTCAAAAGAGCCAGCTTGAATGCCCAGTTTGCCAACATGGACACTGATGTTCTCTATCATGGAACGCACTTTACCCCCGCAAATGGGATGTGTGTCACCCGGACCTCACTTTGTTGACGCCCCCCGCAAGAAACCCTCAAAAAGAACGACCTGCCGCTGGCCAGTCGGTCATGAGCGGGCTGCCGAGCTTGTCGCACCTTGGATTTTGACAGTGGGTGGTGGCTGGTGAGGACAACCTGGAAAACCAGTGCTAAACCAGTTTACAAGATGGTTTTCCAAACAGCAGGGGACTCCTTCCTGATCTTATAGACTTTATTCTGAAGTCAGTCTTTCCCAGGAGGATTTTCATCTGAAGCATCGAAAGCTAAAAGGATAGATCTCACTTCGGAACACCAATGTCTCAACCTTTCAATGCATAATTGAAAAAGTAACACAAAAAAGACCGTTTTCATGGACCAACAGTCTTGCCAACTTCCCTTCGAGTTTCCAGGAACACTGCCCGCAGCGCGCGTGGCAGCACCAATCGAAGTGCCTCGCCGCCTGGCTGCCGGTGAGTGATGGGCCCAACCGGTGGGACGTCTGAACATCAATCTTTTGAGCCCCCACACTGTAGCTAAGTAACCTCACAGCCCCGAGATGAACCAAGTCACTGGTAAATGAACCAGCCATCTGTGGCAGAAACCACCAGGACCTTTCACTTCAGTTGAAAAGATGCCTTCCAGGATCATCTTCTTTAAAAGATGTCTTCCGGCTGCGCCTTCCAGTCCTCGTCCATGCGGAGGAAGCTCACCGCCTTGTCAGACACCAGCGGTGTGTGGACAAGCCGCACTGGCGTCACCGTCACCGAGCGGGCCTTGTCCTCCACAGGCGGAAGATGAGCACGTGCTGGTGGGAGGTTTGTTGGGGTTTGGTGAGTCCTTGGTGGTCCTTAAAGAAGTGGAGCTCCTTTTTTGGATGATAATCAGTGCTGATTGGGTGTGAAGGAGATAGCCTTCACTTTGAAGACGTTTCTTAACGGGGATTTGCCTTTCCACATGTATTGCAAATTGTTTGTGGACAGTGGCCCGCAGGCCACAATTCAACTGCGAAGACTTCCTGCAATCTTTTGCGCCCCAATCCCTTGCATCATGCGAGATGCGGTTGATCTGTCGGGAACATGTAAGGGAAATGCATCGAGAAGTCCTTAAGCGCCACCTCCAAAGGTCCCAGGTCCGGCTTCGCTGCACATTTCAGACCGCCAGGGGACGATGAGGCCTTGTCGCAAGACATGCTGCCAGAGCTGCCGCCCAGCGGGGAAAACGCCGACATCCCAGAGATCGGTGCCTTGGGACTTGTGCAGGGTGGGTTCATTGATGTTCATGGCTGATTTATTCGGACAGCAAAGGGATTTTCATCTACATCACATGGGAGGCCATCGCTATTAGGTTGGAGGCCATTTGGAGCGGGGTGCTGCAAGGATGAAACCCATTTAGGGTCCCTTCACCCAGTTGGACAGGTGGACAGCCGACCAGGAGTCTTGCAAAACCGAACGCACAAGATTCCCTTACAGTTTGGGGGATGTGTTTGTTTAAGGGTACTATGTGGAGAGTGGAATCGATCATCCATGGCCCATCTTGCAATTTCATTTTCTTGAAGGGTTGTTCCAACACCATCAAGTGAGAGAAGGTCCCACGATTGCATCACCAAGGTCACGTGGAGGGTAGTGTCTCTGGATTGGTGCTCTGCCCAGTCTCCGTGGGGCTGCTTGGCTGGAACCAGGTCGTGAAGATGCTTTGCTGTGCAGTGAGAAACGGAAGAGGTTTTGTGGGAGGTGCCCGAATCTGACATGAACACGGCCAATTTGGTGCTCAGATCTGATGGGAGAGTGCGTTGACCACTCTGGATGACTAGTTTGCGGTTGACCTTGCGAGAACAATGCAACGTTCACAGGAACCTCCACCGGCCGGCGGCGGCCGCCAAGCGGATGCGAGAAGCACAAGATGCGATCCCCCGTGTGGCCACGCCCTTCGGTGGAAACTGCCGAAAAGGCTTGGTGTGGACGGATTTTCCTCAGAGGGGCGCGTTGGAGCTTGGTCAAAGAGGAGGATTGCATGACCGTCATTTGCATGTGTGTACTTTCTTTTTCCGTGCGTTTGGAGGGGATTGGCTCTTGGGCGACTGACTCGTCAAGGGGAGGGGACCGAATAGAAGTTTGTCGTCAAATAGAGCGACTCTTCGGGGAGAGGGGTTTCTCCACTCGAGTTCTCAGAAAGGAAGCCTTGAGCTTTCAGGGCCTGGAAGAAAAAGCATGGTTCATCTGATGGGAAAGCTGAGGACCACCCGCGAATTTCCCAGATCTATATACTGTATTTCTTGAGTTTGGTGCACACTTTAAACATAAACATATATTCCAGCAGTATTATCCAGATAGATTGTTTTCAGGTTCAGAAAGAGAGGTGACCGTTTTCTTGGCTTTGTAGGGTTCGATTAGATAGAGAGAGAGAGAGAGAGAGATAGAGAGAGAGAGAGAGGTAGAGAGAGAGAGAGAGATAGAGAAGGAAGGAAAGGAAAGGAAAGGAAAGGAAAGGAAAGGACTGTTTATTTAGATAGGTCGGATAGGTTCTGTCCATTTCCGAGAGCAAAACGGTGCAGGATGATTGACCTGTAGCCGCTGTGGCCACATCGTTTGATTATCGATCCAGCCCGTTGACTGAGGTGACATAGGCTCCCCTGCAAACCTGGGTCCTGAGAGGGGGAAGATGCACTCATCGACAGGTGGCTTTTACATGCGGATTTCTTGTGGATGAGAGACTTTGCAGATGGAACTATCTTAATGGTCAGCAGAGAGCAATCCAGCATTTTATTGTGGTTTACACTTCCCGTGTTTAGAGTTTAGTCTTTTTGGCAGAGAATGGACTTACATAGGGTTTGACAAGCTCTAGTCATTGTCAATTCTTTGAGGTAACTTCCTTCGAATCCCATGTCTCGGGCAGAGTTCGATAGGTGGACTCCTAATTGACGGGCTAGTGACTAGTGTTTTGACCCTCCAAGAAGTGCACTTGGCCACCTTTTTCGCCAACAAGACGCCGCAAATATCACTAGACCTGCAAAGCAGCCTGGTGAAATGTTTCACTCGAGAGGGGTCTGGCACCAACGAGAGACGTTTTCAGAGGCTAGTGGTGGTGTCTAGAATGATTTGTTCTCGTTTGTTAGCAGAACAGAACACCACAGGTTTCATCAACCCAATGGAATCTGAGCGTGCGACACCAAAAGCAAAAAGCTGCCGCACTTGTTTCTTGAGCCAAAGTTCAGGTTGGGTTGTTTTCAGTGCTCATGACTGACGTGTCAACTTCAAAAGAAAGGGTGGAGTGGTGCCCAGGATTTCTCACTCCCCCTGATGTCTTTGACATCACACTTTCTCAAAGCTGCCGCGAGAATGGGAGCTGTCGGTGTCTTCTGGCTCCCGATTCTCTCCATGCACGGCCGTTCCAATGCCTAACCAAACAGGCATCTGGGATGGATCCTCTTGAATCAATCCCTCACCAGCCAGCGCCCGAGCCCAGCCGCACTCGATGGTGCCTGTCTCGCCCCTAGCCTCATAGCCCTGCAATCGGGCTCGATAGCCCTGGCTCTCCTCATTCGCATGCCCCGAAGCGCTCTCAGCAGATGCCTCCACAGCAGCATAGGAGCGACGCTCTGCTTCCTCCAGCGCAGCTCTTCCCCTTTCTACTGCTCGAGACCTCGACGGATGATCTTCTCCATAGCCATGCAGACTTTGAGTCACCGAGCCAGGAGGTGGAAGTGGGTTCAAAGATGCAGAGCCCACATGTCCTTCAGTCGCCCTTGGAGGGAATCTCACATAGAAAAAACTGTAGCCCCTCCATTCGTAGACATCAGCCAAATCGGTGTTGCGTGAGTTGATCCAGTCATCCATGATCTCCTGCCGCTTCCAGGCTTCTCGAGTGCTGTTTCGATGGAAGGCCACTGTCACCCTCGTCGAAGCCATTCTCTCAATCATAAAGGGCGTCCCCCTATGTAGGGGGTGGAAGGCTCTCACCCTGCTTTTCTTCAGCACACGAACCCACCATTCGCCGGCTCCGTCTCCACTGCCCAGGCACTCCCACCGGTCATTACCAGTGGGAGGAGTTGCAAATCGCTCCAGCCGCCACGGAGTGTCCGTGCCCAATCCCAGATGCGGCCCCGGGGCACGAACAGCGCACAACCGAGGATGCCATGGCTGCACACGCGAGGTGTCCGACAGGGTGCCGAGATGGCAAGTGTCGAGCGAGCGATCGTCGGCCGATGTTGGGTCAGGTTCATTTTCCCTTGACCATCTTGACTTCTCTGTCCACCTACTTGGGTCAGGTTCATTTTCCCTTGACCCTTTTCTGGGTTGCGTTAGGCCTCTTGGTAGACTGGCATTCTGCCGTCTTGTACAGACTGCTAGCTACGAAAGTTGCAATTGCTCCCAATGCAGTCACACACGCGATTCGTGGAAGGCTTCCAACGCAAGGCATGGCTGCAATCAGGCCCAGCGAAGCCATGGCAGCGTATGCAGCCTTCTTCACAGCAGCACCATCCCCATCACCCGGTTGTTGTGAGTGACACAACGAAGCTGCGTCGCGAAGGCCAACAGCATTCCTGAACGCTTGCCAGGATTGTGACTGAGTGATGGACTTCGTCAGCAAGTCCGCACATAGCTCCGTTCCAGGCACGTGCTCCACATCCCAGAGACGGTGCTGCAGTCGTTCACGAAGTACATGACTTCTCAACCTCAAATGACGAGTCCTCCAGGGACCCGACGGAGCTTGGAGCAGCTGTAGGCCGGACATGTTGTCCCCCCTGAGCGTAAACGCTCCTTCTTTCTCGAGGATGTTCTGGTGCAGCACATTCACCACCGCACCGACACTCTCGCCCAAGGTGAACCCGTCAATATAGCCCAAAAGCTCACTCTCTGTAGTGCTCAAAGTAGCAAAGGCTTGAGACTTCGATTCCCAAGCTACCAGGCATCCACCCCACATAGCCATGATCCCTTGGTGACCACGACCTCCAGCAGGAGCGAACGAGGAATCTGTCAGTACGTCCAGGCGAGCCAGCGACTGTTTACGACCATGTCGATCAAGCTCTGGTGAACAAGGTCCATATTCCAGCACCAGATCTGGGGTTGCAGCCAAGTATCCAACAACATGGCGAGCCAGCTCCAGCACACCCTTGGGGGATTTGGTGACCCGTGCACCCAAATAAGCAACAGCAAAGCTGAGATCAGGTCTCGTCCTAGTCGACAGTCACAGGAGTTCCCCCACTAGAGTTTGACACTGCTTCACATCCGTGGGGTCTATGATTTCCTCGGGCTCGAGCTCAATCATCTTGGGAAGCGGTGAGTACCTCAGTGGAAGGTCAGGATGCCGGGTCACAAGTTCTCGAGCATAGTCCGGCTGGCCAATCATGAGGTTTGCTCCATTCCACTTCATTTCCACTCCACAAAACTTCCTCCACTCCGACGAGACCACCCACGTTGGTGTAGAGCATCTCCAGGTCGACGCCAGCTTCAGAACGGCCTGCGCCACTGATTGTGGGCCCATGACAATGAAATCGCCCACGTAGGATAGAGCAAACCCCGACGTTTCACCCTCCTCCATGACGTTCACGTAGTCCCCTTCTGCCCCACGCGCGGTCATCAACCTCCACACATTTGGCTCTGGCGTCGCATTGATCCGGTAGTGCACACCTGACTCCCACCACCGTAGACTGCGGAGAACCTCATCCCTGTATGCCTGCCAGTCCGATGGTGAGCTGTCCAGACCATAGACCGCCGCTTCCACCACCCAACGTGTGTCCGCAGAGATCAGTCCAGCTTCAATCAAAATAGCTGGGGGCTTGGTGACCATGACGCGGTGTGACTTCCGAGGTGCTAGCAAGAAAGCCGAGGAAACATCAGTGATCCCTATCGACCACTGTTCATAAGCTGCCTTTCTCAATGCACACCTCAGCGATCCTCCATCGATCCCGCTGGCATACAGTTCAAACGATCTTCCTGCGGAGGGATTCACCTGTTTGTCCTCCTTCACAACCTGAGAGTGTCCTGCTCGTCGTGCAGTATCCTCCACCAAGTTGCCGCAGAGGACTATTCTTGATCTTTTCTTTCCATCCGGTGCTTTGACCGTCGGCACCAATTTCGACGGCGCAACCAGCATCTCTTCATAGCCCGGCTCATGACAAAGATCTCGGACTGACACTGGCCGCACAGCCTTCGTGGTGCGTTCCAAGGAGTTCACCGCATATTCCAGTGACGGAATCCAATCCTTCAGCTCTTTCCTCACCTGCGCCAGGGGGACAGTGTAGGTCTGTAGGACGGCATGGACACTCAGGGGAGACTGCTGCTCACCATCGGGATGTTCACCAACCACCCCTTCAGCCATCTTGGCCATTTGATAACCCAAGTCAAAATCCCTGATCTCTGTCAGTTCATTCTCCAGGGCCAGGACATTCTTCTCAAGGTAGTCCATCAGCGCTCCCCGTAGTAGTCCATCCTCTTCGCCCACCACTACATCCTTCAAAAGATCGCTCCATGGTCCATAGCTGTTTCCAGCCCCAGTGTTCTTCGTGCATCCACCTTGTCAGGTTATAGGCTTCCTCAAGCCCACACTCCACAGTGCCATTCACAGCCTTCTCCTCAAGCCGCTCCAAAGGGGTTTCGCAGAAGTCGCAGCATTCACGTCCCTCCATCTTCTTCCTTGATCCACCATCCGCACGTTGTAGACCACACTCCTTGCATACAGAAGAGAAGGACTCCCCCCCAGTCCAGACCTGGACTGGTTCTCCCCCGGAAGTAGCATGTAGTCGATGAAGTCCAGGATCAGGCGATGACCTTGGAGGCGGAAGTTGTGGAAGCATTGGTTCCATTGGTTGCTTCCCTGTCAACCTGTGCAGCGGCCTTTCAGGCTCTGGAACCATTTGGAGTTCTAGAACTGCTCGTTCTGCTCCTGGATCTTGTTGAACCACCCTAGCATGTTGGATCTGCTCACCCTCCATCAAGACGTAGCCCTGTGACATGAAAGGAGATGGACCCATAATGGTCATGGTCCGAAAAGGCGCTGTCAAAGGTCCAAAGCCCGCCCTGTGCCACCTCTTGGTTTTCACTGTGACTCTCCCCCCAATCGGCAAGAGTGCTGTAGATGGGACTCCAAGATGAGAGCATTGGCGCCGAAGTCTTTCCTCCCCCACGTAGCGAGCAATCCCCGGCCACCACTTCTGCTCCAGGCCACTCTCTTTAATGAGAAGGCGAAGGCGTCGCTTCACCACTTGGTTGACCTCACACTCAATCCGCCCATTGGACGGTCCTTCATCTCCGCCCGTCATAGTTTGATATAGTCCAAACCGCCGGCAGAAGGCTTGAAAAGATCTCGACAAGAAGGCACACTCTCTATCTGTGTGTATCCGGAGCATGTGGACTCCCATAGCCTTGAACCGACAGAAGATGCGGGTGGCAACCTTGGTGACATCAAGCTGTGACCTGCTTTCCAACGGTTCCACCAACGTGATGTTCTGCACACCCACCGGCTCTCCCAGGCTTTTGATGTAGTCCTCCCAGGCTCCATTCAACCTCTGCACCTGCTCATCATCAGGATGAGGACGTTCATCTTCATCCCCCTCCTCTATGGGCAATGGATCACCATCTTCTCCATCCAGCTCACGAACTCCTCCATCCTCTTGGTCCTCCCTTGGCAGCCGTGGGATGGCTACTGTTGCAACCAGAATATACTTGGCTCTGGTTCCCAGTCCCACATCCTCACCTTCCGGCATAGGGCCCA